TGTGGATTGACGTGATGATTCCGTGCTTCCACATCGTGGGGAGGTGCATCTCGTTCAGATATCGTTGAAAGAAAATTGTTAGTGGCGCCGCCAAACTCAAGGCAGCAACTTGCAACGCCTTCGGGCGAATGCCGTCCGCATCCGGGGAGCTGAACTCGCGCAGAGACATCAGCCTCTTCAGTACAGCTGCGGAAGTCAATGATATGTGATTAAGCCCTGATGGTGGCGTTATCTGCTTAGGCAGGATGTATGATGATTGCACGCTTTGGAAGGTACGGCCAAATTGTTGTCTAAGAACGCTGGCCGCCTCTTATGCGGTCTGGGCTAACCCGCAGGTTGTGTGCAGAGCAAGAATACCGCGCTTAACACAACGCAAGTTGTTTACGTATCTGTATAGCAGTTTGGGATTGGAGCAAAACTTTTCCACTAGAACTTGTTGGTTCTTAAGTTTATCCTCCCGGACGAGTTTGACACAGTGATTGCATTGTATTGTGTAGACATCCCAGGTATCGTCGTTCGGGGAGGCTATGTAGGTATGCCATGCCAAGCCCCTTAATGCCATGCATTTACGTGTACTGCTTCTTACGTAAGACTTCAGCCTTTTAAACCGGTAGAGTTTGGTTTCAGATGTACTTGCCAGGAGCTTGTTAAATATGTTGACGAATTCTCCGCAGACCACCTCAGGGGTAAATTCGGCTAAGAACGACCAGCTTGTTGCATCAATAAGATCGGACAGGTCGTCATAGTTGGTTAGGACAAGATACTACTCGGCATGCTCTTTAGGATCATCCGCGTAGCACATGTAATGAAACACTAGCATCGCATGATCGCTGCGGCCCAGAGTAGTATCGGTTGTCACTCTCTCGACCATCAGTTCGTCATTAGTGAATATTCGGTCCAGTATGGATGACCTGTCAATTCCCCTGAATCTGGTGGGCATAGTGACGTGGGCATAAAGCGGAAAGTCTGAAATCATATCTTGCAGGACTGCTTTGAATTGCTCTCCTGGTGTGGCCTGGGATTCTAGAGCATGTAATTTGAAGTCGCCGGTGACTAGAATGTGACTGTACTTCCTGTTTATCACTTGCGTCAACACAGCCACCAAGTTGCAGTCCATCTCAGGAGTAGACGATGGTGGGGGGGGGGGGGTAAACAACAACCAATAGGCCAAGATCGTTTCCTCTCAGTCGGATACTACACCAAATGGAGTCAGGCACGTCGGTTTCCGAATTGTTTATGGGTTCGCATTGCCGGTTGTTAAGAAAGTAGAGGGCTACCCACCACCTTTGCTGGCTCGATCCTTCCGGACAACGGACCTGCCCGTTAGCGCGATTTCAGCATCCGTTATCTCGCAGCGCAACCACGTTTCGGTGACAGCAATGAGGTCCCAAGCTGCAGACGCGTGTCGAAGTCTTAATTCAGCTAATTTGCTAAGTAGACCTTGGGCATCCGTGTACCTGCGTGAGAGCTCCTCGGAGACCAAAAGTGTGTTAGGTTGGATGGATGAAGCAAGTGAGTTTACGCTGACCAATAAAGGGTCGGCGACTAATCGTTTTTGGGTGGGTTGCAGACTCTAGAGACGAATTTGGTATATAGTCAAGTATAAGATGCCCCGGATCCCGGTGTTTACTCGTGCTCTGCTGTGTCCCTCCGGATACTATGGCTACTGTTGAAACCGTCCCCGAGTCGGGTCCTGCAGTTAGTGTTTTCATTGAGAGTTGTACTTCCACTGAATTGTCATCAGAAGGTGCTGGTGTTCCCGCTGCTTTCAGAATTTCGGTTGGCAATCTGCTACGGAATTTAGTCTAGTTCTCTAGAAAGACTGTTGCCGTTAGTTCTGATTGCAACACAAGTTTTAACAGTCTGGGACCGCACCTCTTATAGTTTAGTGATATGGGGATCCTTGTCAACGATGTGGCCACGATATTTTCGACAGAAAGAGCCTCCTGGATGTAGTGCCATTGCGCGCAGTCGCGCATCTGAGCATCGTCGGAAGAGGAATCTCTAAGCTCAGGAACGCCGTGAGCAACCACTGTTTTCTTATCTTGACTTTTTCTGTTCCTCTCTCTGTTAGTGGGATCCGCTGAATGTTCTTTCCACGAGGTTGCAGGTAGTATGCGTACTCCACTTGAATCGTCGCGGAGACGATTCACAGAGAGCAGAACGGCCTCTTTCTCGTCTGCCGAGTTTAGTGTTACCCGAAGTAACCGGGGTTCAGCGCAGTGCAACGCGTTTGGGTGACGCGAGATTCTTTTTAATGTCGTGGGATTAGCATTGACACCGAACGACGTAAAGATGGAACCCCACTGATTTCGATCGTATTCAACCTACCCTTAATTGTATTGGATTCGGGGACATTTATGTACACAAGGTTTAAGGCACCATGGTTGCGTCAGGTGGCTACCGGTTTTGGATTTGGAGCCTTAGTATCCGGTGTTTTTGGTGAATTTGTGAACGGTACTGATGGGGGCCATCCGTGCTGCGACACTAGTTTTCTCTAGTCCAGGCACAAAGGTTACCGGTGCTCTTTCCGGTGTTTTCTTGGCGGCAGCCGGTGCGTACGTTGCCGCGTTGTTCACTATGGCTAGTTGACTGTAGCTTACGGTCTCCTGTATAGCGAACAGACTACTAGGTTTAACACACTGTACAGAGGTTGGGGCAGGCGCGCTGTAGGCAATGTTTTCACTTGTAGGAGATCGAGAGAATGGAGTTGGTGCTGCTGGAGGCTGAGTCGTTGGGGTAAGGTTGGGACGCCTGGCTCTCTTCTTCGGTCTGACTAGGGAATTCGGGGTGTTACTTTCACATACAAGTGCAAGTCAGTTTCTTCCCATGGGTGTAATCCTGGCGCTCACCAGTTGCTCGACCGCTTCTGTTAGTCTTTCACACCTCTTCAGCAGCACAGATAGACAGCTAACAACTGGGATAGAATTGCATACTTGACAGAACCAAAACGCCTCTGCCGTTAGTGTACCGTTTTGTTTTTGTCGGTCCAGTCCCAAGGCAGGTAGTGTGATAGGATTTCAGACATGGTACACACCAGACCATTTTTATCACCTTAGCACATGATTCGCATTTGCTCTTCATACGAGACATATTCACAGTGGGCGTGCTGTATTAAGGTCAAGCGTTTATCACTTCAGCTTCCCGCGTCAAGGTAAGCGTGAGTCAGTGCGGCGCGCTGGCTGTCTCCAGTGTCCCCTTGTACGCACACGTTCAAGTGTTGGTCGGTTGATCGTTCGATGTGGGGTGCGGTTGGTTTGGGACCCAGTAAATGAAACTACACAACGGTGAAAAAAAAGATCGCGAGATAACAAATTCCTTCACGGATGCGTTGAGAAACGCCGGATTGGAGTAAGCGTAGGCTTTTCGGACTGGCTCGAAAATTCTGCACCGAATGGTAGCACCCAGAAGGGTAATGGGCACAAAGTTAATGAATTATCCACATGGGTTCAATCGCAGATGACGATCAAATCGGTTAGTGATGGTTAAAAGTTAAGTGGTACGAGAAAATTTCATGTATGATAGATCACTGTGTAGCGCTGGTAAATCCGGTTCGAATGAGCGTGCGGTGACTATGCTGCGAGAAAATGGAGGGTAGTTAGAGAGGATTATTCCAAAGAAACTGAGAGCACGCACGTCAAGCGTGTGAAAGTGTATAATAAAATATTTATTCACCATAAGAAAGTCGTCATCCATTTTCATACAAAAACGAAATAACTTTTAGCTCTTTAACCACGAAAATGCGAAGAACTCCGTTACCGTCACAAAAATGAAGACGAAAAGAGGGATTTGTGAGCAAGAAGTTTGAATAAGATAATTAGTAAACACGGACGGAAGAGTAGCAACAAAAGTAAAGAGGCCGAAAGAGAGTTGGCCATTGCCGCCACGTCCAGTAGGAACTCCAATCACACATGTCAGATTTCAAGACTGTAGGACAAGTAAATACTAGTCCGGGACGGTGAGCGTAATCCAGCGCAAATATTAGAAGGCGAATGAAATCGGACATAGTGAACTATATTTAACGGGATACAAAAGAGGTGGACCGGTGGAGCGAGACAGGAGAAAGCGTCAACACAGTAACGCACAGAGTAGATGAGTGTCGAGCCGGATGTAGACCTACACGGTTGTAGAGTAAGGGAGATTAAAATTAGGAAGAATAATGTAAAATTGACCAGTAATAAAAGTGCATATAAAAATCGTACTTAGATTTTGGGCGCTTCAAGACCCACATCCGTCAAAGTGAGATGAACCAGCTCGATCAAATCTCGCCGCACCAGGCTATCCTTAACAATTAACCAGAGTACTGGGCGACCGATATGCGACGTCTTCCGATCAGAGATAGTGCCAGAAAGCAACACGCATAAAGGTTGACAGATAACAAACATATGAGACCCAGAAAGTCAGAACAACGCAGTCTGGTGCTTTTCCAGACTTGCCAAAGTCTGCTGACTGAGATCGGATCATGCTGAATCATTTCCGAAACGTACGAAGCACCTGACTAGATCAATGTGGGGTCACTTCAGATAGCGAACTTGGGCTTTACAGACTGGAAAAGCTGCCTTCAACCGTGAATGTACAACATTAGACGAATCTCAGTCAGTTTCGTAACCCGATTACCGTCGATAGATGCATCGCTTACATGATACGCTGTGGCAGAAATCGTCGAATTTGTCAGCTTAGGTTCACAGACAACGGGGCGAACAATGAGAAGTAAAAACGATTCCGGAGTTCGGAAGTGAACGAATAACGATGACAGCAGTGATGTACAATGAGGAATGTGGGATGAGCGATGTATAAGAGACAGAAACTCCACTCGCTAATGAGAAAACAGTGTGAGGCAAGGGCTGTTGACCACACGTTGTACGAATGTCATGAGAAAGGATGACAGTCTCAATTATATGAGTAGGACATAAACCGAAGGTACTAAAATCTCCTTGAAGTGAACAAGTATTTACAGGAGCAGATAGAATGCAATGGAGCAGTTAGGACACGGCCATATTTCAAGCGGACTCGACTCTTGGACGTTTGGCCTTTCGTTTCGTCTCAGAGGGAGGAACAAACGCAGCAGCTCGCTTGGCCTGACGTTCCTTGGCGACTCTGTGAGACTGTGCGATTTTGGCATCTGCTTTGAGACGTTTTCGTTCCGCTTCCGCCAGGAAGTAAGTACCTTTCTCAAGCTCAATGTCAATTTTGGACGGTGTGGGAGCGGGTGGGAATGGAGTGTACTCCTTTTTCTTGCGTATCTGCCACCGGAAGTGGAAATGAAGAGGAGGCATTTTAAACGAAACATTCATACACTGGCTAAGTGATCAGGGTAGGCAAATGTTGATACGGTTGGCAACCAGGAGATGGTTAGTTCCAAATATTTCTACTATCAAGACCCATGTAAATCAGGATTACAGAAATCGGAGGATTATCGTGTAAATACCAGCTAAGGTTTCAAAATCACGGTAGTTCGGAATAACGAAGAGAATAGTGGAAGCAAGATCAAAGGGTTAATTTCGATCGCCAGGGGACCAACAACACCCAACTTACGTCATCAACCAACAACAGAATGTCATTTTGAAGAATTAATTAAACGGCTGAACCATTTTTTTGTCTAATCGGCAGAGGACCTTTGCGTCAACGTGAAGCGATGTCTGCAAACCGTGCAACACAGGTATCAAGCCATGCAATGCATTCAAACCAACCACAGCATATTCACTGCTAGGCCTTGGAATACCTGTCGTGTCTGGATTGTGACACGTAATTTTGATTGAGGGTAAGGTTTGCTTTGAAGCAAGTCGTTGCTTGGATACCTATCCTTTCCTTCCATCTACATCCCCGGCGTGCGAATAACGCACGTTGTCTGAGCCGGTGGGTTGGCAAGTGCAACACATGGCCCATCCATCGGAGCCTGGTGCGTGATATAACGCTGCCGAATGGTTCACTTCTTCTTCCTGTGCCGTAAACGGGGCGTCGAACACGCTGACTGCTCATACGGTGTTCACACCAGATATGAGCCAAACTGCAGAGGCATCGGTTGTCGAACGTAACTAGCCTCTTTACGTCTGCCGATTTAATGGGCCAAGTTTCACAACCGTACAGTAGGGTCGAACGTACGGCGACCGCATTATACACTCTACTCTTCAGGGAGAGAGTAATGTCGCGCCGGCGCCATAGGTGGCGAAAGTTAGCAAAAGCGCACCGAGCTTTTGTTATACAGTTTGCGATCTCGTCTTCAATTCTAACAGTGCTGATGCAACTGCCTAGTTGAAGCTTCGAACGACCTCTAGCTGATCCCAACCAAGGGTCAGCACAGGAGACAGTCCCTACCAAACTTGGTGAAAAACGTGCACTTCGAGAGAGAAAAGACGGCTGACAGCCAGTGCTAATCTGTCTAGTGCTGTTTGGCTGTTTGTGAGCTGTCACAGATAAGGGTAATGTCGTCAGCATACGTATACGAGAACGAGCTGTTGGCCTGTCTTATCCTCCAGACTGGAGTCCACGTGACTGGCCTTGTGCTTACCTCGAGACGTTATAGGACATGGCTCGCAGTGGCACGTTTACCGTTGCCTCCCGGTCGAACTGCTTGTTTGAAATGTGTCTGATGACGAGTTATCTGAGAGGGAACAGTTGATCATGACACGGGGCAATGAAGGCCTCAAAGTAGCTGTATCGCCGATGCTGCACGATAGCCAGCTGTTTGTGACGGTGTTCTTGACAAGGTGCAACCACCTTGAACATGAATGTTTGCTTAAAGCATTCAAGTTTTAAGCTGAGTCCCCGTCTCTCTCGCATATTATTCATTACTTAGGTTACTGTGGCCAAATGGCAGCGAAGTATCAGTTCAAATGCCTGATGTACTATTGTTGATGATCGTTGATTAGGCAGGAGTGAAACTGCGAACCCGCTTCCCCTCCCGGCATACAAAGTACCTATGGGGAGAGTGAATCGGAGCATAAAGCTGACCGATGTGTTCAGTGATGGTAGTATCTCACACTAAATGGGGAAATAGGATGCGATTAACGCGTAAAACGACTGATGAAATGGAAAACAGTTCGGGGAAGCTTTCTCGCGAGAAGAAATGGCCAAAAACAAACCTTGTGAGGTTTGCGCCGGCGTGATAGAACCTTCTTTTTCAACTTTGGCAGAAATCGATCCCAAGAGATATTTTGCTTTGTGGGATCAGCCTTCAGTTTCTTGATGATTAGCAAACGTTTAATGGAGTAAGCTGGATGAATGTTGTCGTAGATGCAACCGAGAACGATGTTCCTGACCTGCAGGACAGAAAACGGTCGGAAAGGATGATTACGAGGGGTCTAGCAGTGCCAATTCAGTATGCATAAGACAGAGTGTCGCGTCTTTATGTCCAAATCATGCTCGCCATTAGCTTGTGCAATAAAAATTGAAAAAAAACAATAAAACACCGAAAATCGGATAGGCCGGTGTCAGGTTTAGTTCAGTTGCATACTGCTAGCTTACACAAGCACGGCCCGGGTAGTAGGACACGGTGGTCCACAGGAACATTAAATAAAAACAGCTGAAAAGAAAGGGAGTGCGGAGAAATATTCGAAAACAGAACTAGGAAGAGCAGCAATAGTCGAGTCACGATTATGGAATAAAAAGAACATTGGAAAGATGCAACATAGCAAATGCAACAGCGGTAACGGATTCGCGGCCCGGCCGTTACGGATATGGTTTTTAGCCACCGAAGTGGTAGACCACGAGACTTCCACGTCTGGGGTGCAAATATTCGATTAAATCTTTACACCACATGCTTCAGAGTATACATGAGCAACTTGGTGACAGCCGAAAAACAATGCGCATGCAGATAGTGGGCCAACGATGAACATGATCGGGTAAACACAATCGACTCACGTGTTGGGTTCAGAGCTGAACAAGAGAATATGCTGAGAAAATGCAACCGGTCGACCTCATCATTGTTTATCTAGTGGGCCCACCAGGTAGGGATAGTGATAAGTGGACTCGAAAAAGTGGTCGAATTTACTATACCGCATTCCACCACCACGGTTTTTTTGCACCAATGTCCTTTTGGTAGCTTTAGAGAGCCGGTTGAACTTCGGCATCGAGAATGCACCTAAACGTGATGCGACGGTTTGCGTGCCTCTTTGACGCACTGAGCTATACTGGCAGGTGCACCCAGGCTCCATGAGAGCTCATCGCGATGAGACTGGAACTTAACGTAGTGCGATGGTTTGCGTGCCTCAGTGATCCATTGAGCTATGCTAGGTGGTGCTTTTTCTGCACCTTAAGAGCCACTCATACAAAATTGGTCAATGGTTAGAGGCCAGACAACCTCAGCCTCCTGGTCCTCCAGGTTGGGGGTTGAAATGAGGGTGGCTCCTTATTTCATAAAACGGGCTCTCTGTAGTCCAGTGCCAAAACCCGCTGCCTTGCTGTAAGGTTTTTGAATCAAAGGCTTTGGTTGAGAACCCTAATCGTTCTACTGTCTAGGCCTGTGCAACCGGACAGTATTCTGCCCACGCAATACAATGAACCCTTCATCAAACAATTTCTTGATGCGCTGGCCATCGCAAAGGATAATAAACGGCGCCCTATCTGATGCATCGAGCAGAGTGAAAAGGGGTATGGATGCTACTGCTCAGGCCTTCCCGTCTTCTTATTCCCACTCTTGCGCTTTTTCACCCTTAGCGTCCCGTTCCAACTTCATATTTATCCCGCGTTTGCAATCCCCTTGCTTGAATAGTCGATTGTCTTCTAGTTTTAAATTACATAATCGCAGGGCGTCGCTATAATCCAGTCGACAAGTCCATGTTCAATCGAGCGGACAACGTCGGTTCATCCGTTTCCCTTTGGAGTCCTCGAGTCTCGCTAAGACTGCCATGCCTCAACGTGCGCACTTCGCTGCAGATTGGCCAACAGGCAGCACTTGCCCGCACACTAGAGACCCTATCGATCGATATTTGCTGTTTATCAGAAACCCGCCTGCAAAGTTCGGGCTCCATGCTTACTCTGCGATCCCCCACATGCGACACTGGCGGTACATTCTTATTGCACCTGTCAGGCGATGATGCAGCTTCAAATGCCGGTCAAGCTGGCATCGGCATTGTTTTGAGTCCCCGGACTGAAGCTGCCCTGATCGATTGGATCCCAGTAAACAGTAGGATGTGCGCCGTTAGATTAGCTGGTTCGTTCCGTGCTACGATGCCGTGCGAAGACAAACGGTGCTACAAACTGTAGCACTGATTCGGTGAAAGATGATTTCTATCAGCAACTTCACGAGCTTCTTCGTTACAGAAGAAGCACGGATACTGTGGCGTTGGCTGGCGATCTAAACGCCCAAGTCGGAAAATTGTCCTCGGATGAGCTTCATCTGGGCAGCCAACATGGTGTAGGCTTCGGTAATGATAATGGTGAGCGATTGCTACAGCTGTGTGAAGATGCTCACCTCTTTCTCGCGAGCACTAACTTTGGACACAACACCCGCAGAACGGAGACTTGACGGCCACCAGCCACGGGCCAGCCATGGACGCAAATCGATCATATCGTGATCAAGTACCGCTGGATGGGCTGTGTCCAAAACTGTCGCTCGATTTGGAGCACGAGCGTGGACTCTGACCACGCACTTGTCCGTGCCGACCTTCGGGTGCGTTTCAGTGGATGTCCGCAACGTCGATGTGAACGGATTGACACCAACCAGCTGGCGAAGCCAGATGTTCTGAATGTGTACCAAAGCGCGCTGACATCTGGGCTGAGTAAGCGCCAACTAAACACCGTTGAAGATCACTGGTCGCATATTCGTCAAGCGTTGCTGTTAGCAGACATGTCTTCATGTGGCAAAGCAAATTGCCAAACCGGACATTGGGTCTCTACAGTCTCTGGAACTTATGGATGCTCGCCGACGTATTCCGGCTGGAAGCGAATACAATGAGGCTCGCAAAAATCTCAGGGCAAAACTACGTGCTAGCCTGAAGAAGGACCGCGAAACCTGGTGGTCTCATCGTGCCTCTGAGATGGAAACAGCCGCTGCCATTGGTAATCATAGTAAGTTATTCCGTTTGATACGGGAAACAGGCAGCAGGAGACCTGGTGTTAGCGAGAGTGGGCAGCTGATCCACAGCCTGTCAAAACGCTTGGAGCGTTGGGCTGAACATTTTGCAAGGTAATTTAACCAACTTGAGTTATCGCTTTCTTTTTCTGGCAGTGAACGCAGTTCTCCCTGGGCCGTCTCCTTGGATCCGCCCTCACGCGCAGAAGTCGAATGTGAGATCAGCCTGTTGAAATTGCATAAAGTCGCAGGGGCAGAAAGGGTTCCCCCATTCCTCTGCAAATTCGGTGGACCTGCTCTAAGACATGATTTACACGAGTTGCTAGTGATGCTTTGAGAGCAGGAGACTGTCCCGATAGGCTGGAACCGCTCCGTCATTGTACCAATTTTCAAGGAGAACCCCGTTTGGAATGCGGCAATCATAGAAGGATCAGTCTAATTTCGATTGCCTCTAAATTGCTTGCCTCTGTCATTCTCCACAGACTGACTGGCACACGTGAAAGCCAGATTCGTGAAGAGCAAGCCGGATTTCATCGACGTCGGGACTGCATCGACCACAGCTTCACCTTGCATCAAGTGTTGAAGCACGGCCATGTTTATTGGCGACCCACTATTGTGTTTCGAAATAAAAGGTGCTTTCGACTCAGTCGATCGACGTGCCCTTTGGGACAGTCTGCTGAGAAAAGTGTGCCCGATAAATACGTAAACATTATCAAAGCGCTGTACGCGCATAGTTCGGGCAGAGTGAGGGTTTATGGCAAACTGTCGCCACCCTTCAGTATCACCAGCGGTGTGAGACAAGGTTGCCCGCCGTCACCTTTCCTCTTTAACTTCGCTATTGATGAAGTCATGGAAACAGCATTCGCTGGATACGACCTAGAAGGTGTGGAGCTACTTCCTGGTGAGCGACTTCTTGGCTTGAAGTACGCGGATGATATTGCCCTAATCTGTGACAGCTCCCAAACATGCCAAACAGCACTGGACCGATTAGCACTGGCTGTCAATCGTTTTGGGCTATGCTTTGCACCATCGAAATGCAAAGTACTTCTCCAAGATTGGCAGGGATCCAACCCTGCGCTAACGCTTGGTGGTGATCTGCTAGAAGTCGTTCAGGAATTCAAGTACCTGGGCAGCTATATTAGCACCCGTGGGATTGAAGATGAGGTTACGAACCGTATAGCAAAAGCTCGAGGTACTTTTGCCAATCTCCCCCACCTGTGGAGCAGACGCGACATTACTCTCCCTCTGAAGGGCAGAGTTTATAACGCAGCCGTCCGTTCAACTCTCCTATATGATTGTGAAATCTGGCCCATCAGGTCAACTGACATAAAGATGATCGTCATATTCGAACATCGCTGCCTTCGCAGCTTAGCTCATATCTGGTGGGAGCACCGCGTGAGCAATGAGCGTGATCGGCGTCGCGTATTTGATGCAGGAAGAGCGAGTGAACTGCTCTGCACCAGTATATCACGCACCAGCATCCGATGACTAAGCCAAGTGTGGCGCATGCCAGCACACCGACTTCCGCGACGTGCATTGTTTGCGCGTTGTGGGTGCGGTTGGCAGAGGAGGAGGGGAGGCCAAGCAATGATTTGGTCGAGAGAGATGAAAACCCTCACTTCAAATATGGCGTCGGTTGGTGCACCCCGACTGCCAGGCTGGGGTACTAAGAATGATGAACACGTTTGGTTGGACACATTTGCTGATATGGCTAAGAGTCAGTCAACAATGGCGTTTGCGTTTCTCTGTCCATCCCCCTCCCGCTTAGCCTCCCACTCCGATCACGATTTCACTCGTTAGGCGTAACATAACTCTCTTGTTGCGGCATGATAGCCGGCTGTTAGCTCTCCGGAACGATGTCCATCCGTTACTGGGGACTCAGCCGGCGTGCCTGTGTTATTTTTTAAGCATTCTTGTCTTTTTATTGCGGTACAATAGCTGAGGTGTTTTCCACCTGCAGCGAAGGTGTATAATGATGATGAGGATGGCCTTGAGAGTTCAGACAAACTCAGTCTCCTGGTCCTCCAGGTGGAGGGTTTGATTTGGGATGCGTCCATTTCTGTAAAACTAATCAATGCCACCTCCTTGCTGCATTGCGTAAAAACCTTTGGGCAAAAGACTTTGGTTGAGGATCCTAATCGTCCTCTTTCCTAGGTCCAGGAGCCCTGGCAGTGTCTCAGCCCATATACAACCATGACAATTTCCTTATATTCTGACTACATACTGCATCGGCCGTCGCGCAGATTA